TGGAAGGGCCCGCGACCTGCGATTATTACTCAACTCGACAATGAAACGGGTACACCCTCGGAAGCATTGCTAATGGCAACTCTCGAAGGCCAACCGCTGGCATCCATCAACAATCCCGAACTACATCCCTTAGATTTCGCAATCGTCTCTCCTACCTCCACAGGTCTCAAGAGCCAATTGGTCATTACTACTACTCCTCCATGGGAACGCACCCCGCAATATATCTACCTATTCCCCATAACGCTTAAACCCAAAGACCGCCTGACACTTTGGAGGGCTCCAATTTCGTCGGTCAACGCAGATCCTTGGTATCTGGTTAGTGTTAGTGATCTCGGCAAGCTCAATGCAGCCTCGGGTGCGAGGCAGACTTATTGGAGGAACAAGCCATCGATTTCCCCGAGCAGTGTCATCACGAACTCGAGGAACAGAGTGCGTATTTACTCGTAATCCTATTAACTACCTATTGACGGGCGGACGCACCTTTAAGAACACTTCCTCCACTCCTGTGCTTCCGATACCTCGGGTGTCTGACCAGGAGACTACGCCACAGGATACACAGCTGCCACATTCCACCTTGAACCGTTCCCACAAACCGCCTTCAACTGTTGAGAAGACCCGAGCACAGCTTTCCAGGCTGAAACTCCTAGGAATTAATCCTTTCAAGTTTAATAGAGCTAATGCGTCCTGCTCCAACGTGAATCGTGGTAGCATCTTTCAGGCTATACCCAGAAATATGGTTGAAATAACGATTTAGGGTGTAATATTTCTCGAATCAAGTATTGTTTCTTTCTGCGTAATATCTACGCTGTCATTCCTTATTTTCTTTCCTTTCCTGTACCATGTTTCGCTGAGTCACTGTCTTTTTACTATATTGTAATTGCATGTATATTATATTATAGTATACCTATCATTAAGTTATCCCTATGTAATACATGCCTTCATTAAGTATGTTTTTCGAAAACACAAAGACGGATTAGATCGAAGTAAGTATATTATTTAAGAAAAGAAAAATGTGATTGACTATTACAACGAAGGTAATAATCACTAACATACAATGGCAGAGAGTAGTAAACCCATTACTAAGGAAATCAATAATCCTTCCGTATCTCTTCCGTATACAATTCTATCAGAACCCCGAGGGCCGAGCGTCTTTTAAACCCGTTCATTCATCTTATGGTTCGCATGCCCCTTCAACTGACATCCAAAAGCCTAATCGCCCATCCACCAATGCTGTAGCGTACAGGATTTCATGCAGATGAAAGATGATACTCGGTTGAACTTGAGGATATGACGCCGAAGACGGCATGCGGTAGGGTGCGTGACGCGTGACGCGCGAGAGTTCGATCCAGTGACGAACTACGATGCGAGTTGGTGCATAGGTCGGAGGTGGAGAGGAGAGGCGGGATAGAGTGGATCGTTGTAGTGTGGGAGCGGAAGGAGGAATGTCAGACTGTTGACATGCTGAAGAGAAAATACATGTTAGCGTATCAAGAAAGAAAGAAAAAAAGCACACAAGACGAACGACGAAGAAATTGCAACGTACGCAGCAGGTGGCACTCGTGTGATCATGCACACCAGAAGACGCCAAATGATCATGCATACTGGTGCCAATTCTGCACACAGAGCACGTGGAATTCCTCGAATCCTATAAATGCACTTCCCCGTCCATACCTAGTAGCGGCAACCAAAGCGTTCTCATCTCCTTTCTGACACTTCGCACCCCAAAGCCACCCCGCATACCTATCGGATGTCCTTACGATCGCATCTGTATCCCCGATCCGCGTTTCATGTCTTAACGGCACCGTTCGCGAAACCCGCCATGATGGGGAAGACCGCGAAGTTGGCACCGAGCACTGTTAGATTGTTAATGCTCTGTACAGCATACTCAGTCACGACGAAGCAATGTGATGTAGATAGCAACTCACATCAACCTCCATCACGCTCGTCGAACCCACACCGCGATGCTTCGACCTCCGACAGTGAACATCCCCGCTCCCTGACTCCAATCCAGTATCAACCTATGACCACGCTTCACGATGATCAATGAAGGCATAGCGCGCCATGTAGTAAGCAGTTGGGGTTGCGCTTGAAGAGAAGGTGAGACCTCTAGATCTTGATTCCGTCGCCAGATGCGAAGGATACCGTCCTCTGTATACTACGCAAAAGGATTAATAGGTGAAGATAACGAAAAAAAAGAAAGAACACGCACATGAGCCCACGGCGATCAATCCATACGTCTCGGAGTCGTTGATGAGCTTCAAGCCTGTGATAGTGCTCGTGGTAGGATTGGCGCTGCTCCATTTCGACAGATCCAGCCTCATAATCTAAGTAGAACGTCAGTATGATTATAGAAACCTGGAAGACAAAGTTTACCCACATGGGCTTATCATGGTAAAGGACTGAGATAACAGCATGTCAACGCAGAGCAATCTTCACTGCCAGTGGTGCAGATCCTATTTAGAGTCCTAACTGGGCGACCCCGATCGCGATTCGCTAAATGATATTGATATCAGCATCGTTATAGGAAGATGTGGTTGAGCGGAGACGCACCCGGTGACCTGCAACACCTGCCTGCACCTGGGTCTCCGAAATAAGCCCTTCGTTTCGAGAATATCACCGCAACTGCTGCATATAGTCCAGAGTCCAGATTCCATCCCTCGATAATCCTCAGGACAGCAGGAATCCATCTAGCCGCCTCGTGATCCACGCGAAAGACCGCTGTTGCCTGATGCTTTCTCCTCGTTCTAGTATACGCATGTGTCGTCTCGCTTCTTTAATCATCACACTGATCAACGAGGCCTTCCTGCTTTATCACGAAGCTCACATCTTCCCTTGTCGTATCCCGGCTGTTGCTCTAGCGTCGTAAAGGACTGTTTGATCGCATTGAGATGTTCTGCGCAAAAGAATGTAATCAGTCAGCATAAAGTAAGATAGTATACGGAATGAGATGGGATGAACTCACATCAACCTTCGTCTGACTCGTCGCATCCCGACCAAACAACAATCTCCTTCGAGCCGCGCCCCGCAGTGGTCTTCCCTGCTCTGACTCTAATACATGATCAACCCATGCGCACGCTTCACGATGATAAAGAGCGCGCCGCGCAGTAAGGAGTTTAGGCTGCGCTTGTCGAGGAGGCGAACCGTTTACTGGATCTTGGTTCGGTCGCCAGATGCGGATGATCCCGTCCGCTACAAAAGCCTAATTAGCAAAAGAAGACTATATGATGAAGAGGAAGAAACGTGCATGAACGTGCAGCGATCAACCCTAAACTTCAACCCTGGAATAGTGCTCGTGGGCAGACTGTCGTTGCTCCATGTTCATAGCCCTGAGTTAATAAATGTAAATGTCAGTATGTCAATTGAACGACACAAACGTTACTCACATAGCTTGTCATGAGCCGAAACAATGTTTATATCAAGCCCACGAAAGACGACCTTAACGGGTGCTGACTGGGTGATCCCAATCGCTAAATCAGATCGATATCAGTTTCAGTGTGCGAAGAAGAAGTTGAGCAGAGACGCACGTACAACGCTTGCCTGCGCCTGAATCTCCACAACAATTCTTTGGTATCGTATCGAGACGGTCGCCATAGTCGATGGTTGCATGCATTCGAGATTTCCAAGCCTCGATCGTGCTCCCGAAAGAGAGAAAGCTCGTGCAGCAAGCTGTCTCGCCGTCTCCCAATCCATGCGGAAGGCCACGATTGCATGGTGGTGCATCCTCGTTCTAGTATCACATGCTTCAAAACAGGCTTTCCATCCTTCCACCACTGCACTGGTCAACACGACTCTCTCCTTCGTTACCACGACACTCGCATCTTCTCGTATGGCTATATCCGGCCGTTGTACTTGCGTTGGATAGGGTGGGGTTCCACAGGCCTTGTACTTGGGTTGAGACTCTCAAGTCAGGCGATGGTGCACGGTTTCGCCTATTCATGTATGAAGCTTCGTTCGGAGGAAAACCACGCGGTTTAACCTAATAGCCCGAGGTGGTACAAGGTTTGCCTTGATGATATTTGACGGTATCTAGCCGATCCACATCGAAACTGAGATAGATCTGAAGCGTCGAGGATTTAGATCTTGGATGTATGCATAAGTCTCCAGGTTGATAAATTCGGATAAAGTCGACGGTATAAAGTCTGTGGTGTGTCGGTTAGTAGGAATGATGCCTTGAGTTATTTGATATGACGCACTGTATTGCTTTATTTCTGCTTGTGTGTCCACTACCCTAGCTAATCTGAAACCGCTCACACTGCAAGACTACACAGTTATAGCCTGAGCGGACAGAAGGAAGAGGTGGTGGTGGTGTATTTGCCGGACTAGGTCCCGTGAACGGAAGCGTCGGGGACTGCACGTACACTCTATGATTAAGCTACGGTCACATGACACGATCGCGAGCAGGGGAAGCGGGCAGTCAACGCGGTCCCTTCGAAAGAGTCCGAGCATGGGGCATACCACCCAGCTGCTTCACACCTCCTTTCCGATTGCACCCTCTCATAGAATAATCAACACGCGCCTCCTCCTTCGACCCATTCTACGGGAGACGCAGTGATACGGGTTCCAGGACTTTGAACACCCGATGCACATGTTGACCCAAGAGAGGTAGCGGGAAAGGCCATGACAGCCACTCAGTGATTAACGAGAGGTGGTCAAAGCCAGGGGCGGGACGCAGGGGGAGCGCGCAGGGTCTCAGAATGCTGAACGGAGGGAGACGATGTCGACATTACCCCCGCATAGCATTAACACATGCACTTTATCTGCATTATCTACTTACCTAAGAATGGAATTATCAAGTGTTTGACAGAATTCCAAAAGGCAGGTTTCTTTGCCTGCTTGTCCAGCTGGTTCGTGCGATATCTTCTTGAATGTCCAAAAGTGCGACGAATGAGTAAGTACTCACTAGCGTATCCTCATTCAGTTTCCTCTACTCAGGTTTTCTTCAAATATTCCTAGTTACTTTTTTCAAGTTCCGAACCACAAAGAAGAATCAGGCAAAAACATGACCACCGCAGGGATCGAACCTGCAACCTCCTGATAACATCACATCGTAGTCAGACGCGCTGCCATTACGCCAGGCGGCCATTACAACAAGATGATACCTTTCGGATACCATCCACATACACATATAGAGAATTGAATATTATTAACGTTGAGCTTCAATGAAACATTGCGGTAGTACAAGGTCAGAACAACTCTTTGTATGCTTATAACGACTGCGCACAATTTCCATCTCAACTTACATGTAGTAGAACTATACCTTTTCGGCGATATCGGGTATAACCTCACATCTCTTTCAATCCTTCTTCAAAACATCGACCCATCCTTTACCTCTCTTCCTACTATCCTTACTCCAAAGCGAGTCCCATTCCTTCCCAAAGTCAATCAACGAATCTTCCCCTCCCCATTCCGCCATGCCCATCATCCCAACCGGCATTTCGCCTCCATCCACACTCACATACCCACACGGCGCACTAATGGCAGGGCACCCTGTCCAATTGGCGAGGAAGACGTACTGCATCGAGCGCAAAGCCTTGTTGGAATCGCTTATGCCATACGCGCCTTTGATGCCTGCGCCGGGTGGAATCTTCACGCCGGGATGGGGCGCGGTAGGCGTGACGATGATAAGCCCTGGATGCGTTTGGAAGAGATGAGAGAGGTGCTGCATCATCTGTGCACGGAGTCGAGCGGCCGTGATCAGATCGTGCGCCTTGGTTTTGGACGCGATGGACGTTAGGATCTTGGTACTAGGACAAAGACCCGCTACATCGTCTCCACCTGCGCAAATGCCGGAGCCGATTTCAGACAGAATGGTTACAGCGTGGGCTGTACGATTCTCCGCGATGTAAGGGAGGGTGATATCAACTACTTTGTATCCCTTTTGTGATACGAGGGCGTCGACGGCGGATTGCACGGCAGAGACGATAGGTGCGTCAGCATCTTCAAACCAAGGCTTGTAGATCCCTAAAACTTTCTCAGTAATAGACGTAAGAGAGCCTGGATAAGAGAATAAGGCAGATGCTGAACCTCCCTCAACGTCTGGGGCGGCCATTACCCGGTAAGCGATTTCGAGATCGGCTATGGTGGCCGTAATGGGACCAAGGACACCCACGCTAGGTGCAAGACTCGGAGTAGGACGACCGCTGACTCGACCTTGACTGGGCTTCAGACCCCAGACCCCATTGTAAAGGGCAGGCACACGGATGCTTCCTCCACCGTCTGCGCCGACCGCTATAGGTACAAGACCGGAGCCTACACAGGCAGCTGAACCACCGGATGAACCACCAGGATAGTAGGCAGCGTTGTATGGGTTCGTTGGTGTACCCCAATGAGGGTTGTCGTTCGTAGTGTCAAGCCCAAGCTCGTGCATGTTCGCCTTGCCCAATAGCAACATGCCCGCATCCAGCAACGTCTGGACACAAAATGAGGATTGTTTCGCAGGCTCATTTCCCAGGCGACGTGAAACCTCGGCGGGCGATAGTCCAAGGGTCTTGACGGTTCCAGCGACGTCGACCTCGTCTTTCACCACCAACGGCACACCGTCCATCGGAAGTGCACCTCCGGATCGATAGCGTTCGGTAGACGCGGCAGCAGCGGCCAGAAGAGCATCTTTCGGAGTGGGTGCGATGAAGTAATGCTCCTTGGTTGAGTCAGTTGCCAGGATTTCGAGGATGCGCTCTGCTACCTGGGTGGGAGTTACGGCCCCAGACTTGTACGCCGCCACGTAGTCAGCCGCGGAGTAGAACGTTGAGCCCGAGCTTGATACACCGCGCGTTGTTAGAGCTTCATAAGCAGAGGGTATTAAAGTGGAAGTTGTGTTGACAAGTGCAATCACGGTCGGATCAAAGCATGGAACGATATCCTTGAGTGCACCGGTCTTTTCCAACTTCGACAGGCTCCCGAATCCAGCGTTACTCCATAGAATACGCTGAAGACTACCAAGACTACTGACACTATAGAAATATCGATAGTAACAGGGTTGATGTCAGACGAGCAGAGCGATAGCGACCAACGAAGCGTACTCACACACTGCTCAATACACCCAAGGTCGCGCCAGACAAAGAAGGGTTATTTTGTGGTGTATTATCGTATTTCGTGTTGGGACCCGCAACAGCTGGCGGGTAGTTGAGGTATTCACGAATTGAGATTGCTGACGGCGGCATTGACAATGGTGACGAGTGGCACTGCCACCGGTTCGGGTTCAACAATCAACCGACTTCAGGGCAGGTCGACCTATCTTCGCCGATGAGCTGACACCATAAGTTATTTCCACTGCCATTTACTTGAAGTTTGAAGCTAGTCTGCAATACGCTTAATATCTACATAGATTCTGATAATGATACAATATCTCCTTTTTCAGAGACTTTCAAGCGGAATGGAAATGGCTATACACTGGCAATATCCGCCTTTTTTCTCATACATACCAATGAACCGTCTTCATCGAAATCTTCGTCTTTCGATCCTGGCATCATCAACCCATCATCAAAGCCTGGCAGGTCGACCAAAAACTCATCCACAGCAAACCAGCCGCGATACCGTCGTTTAGTCACTTCACTAGAAGAATCAGAGGGCTTTCGTCCCACCTCCACGATATTGCTTGGTTCGGCCACTGCCCATGTTAAAGTTCTAACCGCCATTTGAGGGACTTCAGACGGGGTGGCGAACTGTTGTCGGTTCTGATACGCTTTTGCACGGAGGTTAAGAAACATTCTATAAAGGGAATTTCAAGATGTGTCACAAATTCATAGTTTTTATAGACGTTTTACCTTGAAACCAAGATTGTAGTAAGTCTGATGATTGGGTGATAAGTATGATAGCGAGTATTATGCTCGGGTACTCACACGCTGGATAGCTGCATATTTGCACTCCCAAAAGTTAACTGAAGATCAAATATTCCTTTCCTGATAAGTATCCTAGTCGATTATAAATAGTGATCTCTCACGTCGTCTGGCCATATCTGGGTGGCATTAGATCTTCTTCAACGGCTGAAGTTGTGTATAGTCTCACCTTAAGGAAAACCAAAGTGAGGATATTCGCGCCTAATAATGCCCTGAAGGATAACTTAAGGAAATTATGAAATTGTATAAAGGAATACTGACGTGAAATAGATTGCCCCATCCCGAACGAATAGCTCAAGCAGGGAAGAGGTATAGGGGTTACCCCACCTTAAGTATATGACTCTCAAGGCGGTAAGAGAAAAGATCAGCCCATCAAAGACAATGAATGCCACGGAAGTCATTAAAAATTCTGTCCACAATTATTACTAGCGAATTCAAATGTTTTGAAATGTCAAGTCACCTTGCATTAGGTCTAGATCTAATTGACATAGCCATCCCCCTTGCAAAAAGGTCCACTGATTCGGGGTAAGAAATTGTAAAAGACGGGGAATGGTAACACATACGATAATCATTATTGGGGGAAGACATGCAGCAGGTACTAGAACCCATAGAATTCCATCTGGATGTGATGGGTGTGGTTAGATTTGGTCGTTCACACTGCTATGGATTGAAGACGAACTGGGGTGATAAAGTGCATGAACGCGGATCACTGCTTAATCAAGGTCCTTGATGAGTATATATTCCACAGTTCCAAATGAAGGACGGTAACTTGCATAAAACAACTGAATAACAAATCCAAAGTGAGTTCAGTCTTTATATCACTTTACCAGCACGAGACATACCTCCAGCCAATGAACTAATCCATCCCGCAAGAGCCCATCTCAATAGCCAAAGATGGCAGTCTACGCTACTGACAGTAGGCGTAGTAAAGCTATAGTATTGCCCAAGGATAAAGACACCAACTGTGGGATATCGTATGCAAACAAAAATGTAGCTGGGTATTCCAAAGCGTTCCTGCCATACATATCGACGTTCGCGCTATGGAGAGTCTTTGGATGAGCCTAAAATAAGAGAGGAGAATATAAGGCGAACCTCGAATGTCAAGAAAATGTCGTATATCACCAGGATCGTTGCCGCTAGCGTGTAGCACAGGGTAGCTTGCCTAAGACAGCGTCAGTTATGAACTGGAAGTCGGTGGCTAGTATCGGTTGCTAACCCTTCATGTATTATAGTAATCTGGGACTCCTTTGGAGTCCCTGGAGGACCTAGCAAATTGACCATGAATGAGGATCCAGCCTAGTAGTGGGTAAGAGAACCAGCTCGAGAAAGTGCTGTCAACAGCGATTTCGCTGAAGCGTATATAGGCAGAATCGAAGGGCAAGGCTATCCCCCGAAGTATGTAAGGTAACTGAGATGGGAGCCATCAAGGGTTCGAAGGAGACCGCTATTAAGGGTGACGATCATGCTAATGTAGAGCCCATCATCTAATTTAAGCCCCGAACGCTCAAGCTGTCAAGAAAGAACCTCAGTCGAGAACCAATACCGTGGGTTTACCTGTGTGTTGGGATAGGTCTACGGGATGAACTGAGCTCGGCAGTTATATTTATGATAGAACTGGACTGAGAACTGATGTGATCCTTCAAAGCATTAGCCAGGGTGCAAGGAGTATGTATATCTTACTTCCTTCGGGATGAACAATGTAGCTCTTTGAAGTTAAGCAGCGCGATCTTCAGAACCAGAAGAGTATTCTGGAGTCTGGAGTCTGGAGGCTGGAGGCTGGGGTAATCACGTTATGTGTTATATTAGGCCAGATGAGCAAATCTTCCGGGCACGCCAACTGCGAATTCTTTGATTCAGACCCAAGAAATTCCAGCAATACGTTTTGACTGGTAGTCAAGAAATCCAGATGACGATTCAGAGGTCGCATGTTCTTGAGAAGAATTGTTCCATAGGTGCCGGAAATCAATGAAACCAATATAGATCCGTGTATTGAGTTGACGAGTAGATTGACGAGGAGTCTATCTATAAATATCGTAGTTGGTGACTTCTGATACAGGCAATGTGAATCGGTATCTACCTTGCAATGGGTACTGCATCGTATCAAGGAAATGTAAAATGAGCGTACATTTATAGTGCCGCCATTATAAAACTTATACATCGGATAATTAGACGTTGATTGTACCCATGCTCTAAAAGACTCATTGTAAGAAATGCCAATATCAAATGTCAAAGTGTACTACCTCATA